CCATAATTCATTGATGGCATGATTATGCTATGCCATAACACATCACCATACTCAAATCGATTAAAACTGTTGTGTTGGTTAATTATTGATTTGCCATATGCTAAGATTGTCATATACCGAGGAAACGCCGTCGATTGAAGGTCATGTATTTTGTGACGTCACCAATTCGTGTGTAGGTACGGCTTCTAGATCCGTACCCATTCACAGGTGAAACAAGTACTTACCAGTTATATAGAAGTCTTCATCAAAACCCTTGATTTACGAAACGCAGAAGGGGCAGAAAAGACCTTTCAAAGGTCAAAGTTCGTTCGATGTGATTGGCTGACTGAGCGGTTTTATGAAGAGCGCCCCCACAGTTCTTCCACAAAAACTCAACTTTTGTTTATGAAATAAAGGTCTCTAAGACAGACCGGAAACGGAAACGAGACAAAAACAAAAGATTTTTCAAGTTAGCGTGGGGGAAATAACGTTGCTAAGTATTATCGTCAGGGAAAGCTATTGTTTAAGCTAGTCTGTGATTGGTTGCTGGCAATGTTTGGGGGATTTTGACCAGTTTGTGACGTAGGCTTGTCTTAGAGAATACTACTAATTGAATTTCCATAGACGACAATGTTAACATATGACGAGATTTCTATATGAAAATGATGAAGAAAGTTGAAAACATGGCTCAAAAATGGGAAATAAACATGCCAGTAATCATCCATATGAAAAAAACTAGCATGGTGGCCAGCTCAAACTCTTGCAAATCTCAGGTAAACAAGACACACCTACTGTATTTGGATTGCACTAAGAGAAATCACTAGGAAAACACCAAGATTAGAACATCCAAATACACACAGAATAAACCCACAGGTACACAGCTGCTAAGTTGTAAACAAAATACCACATGTTGGTCTCACCTTTGACCCAGGTGATTACGCCCTCAAACAGGCAACACCTGAGAAAAAAAATATTTAAAAAATTTCATTGGTTATTGCAAGGCATTTAAATTGGGCTACGAGCAGCCATTGGTTGATTAGTGGCATGAGACCTAAACCACGCAGTTAATTTTAGGAACTAATATTCTGATAGGGACCCAACCCTTAAAACACATTTACACGAAAGACCCACCCTTATTATATATACATCAGTTCAAAATGTTAAAAATTACATATTCCACATTATATCAACACAGCAAAAATGTGACCCATTTGATTCCTAAAAATGCCAAAATACTGAAATACTAGTACAATTTTTGTACATCTGTCAATTTGAAATTCACACAAACACAGGCCCTTTATAGAGGTGGGTCATTTGGAAAGCATGCACGACCCGAGAAAAACTAAATGTACAGTACGGTTAGACAATTGTCCAACACTCCACCAAGTGCCCTTTGGAGTTTGATGTTCCCTTAAAAACTTATAAGCAAAGTTTTCTACAGGTAAAAACTGTGAAGAGAAACTGATGCTCTTTGAGTGCAACCACCACTATTAACTTGGGTACTGGAAAATTTAGTTCATTTCGCAAAACACTAGAAATTCAAATGCAAAATAATTTTACTATCAAACATATCTGACCACAAATATGAGACATGATTTGATTAGATGAGCATATTATTCACATCAATGTAATTTCAATAAATTTCATGCAAGGAGGACACGCCCACTTCTATACTTGTGTTGAACCGATCAACATAATCTCTAAATTTTAAGCTACAATCACAGGGGATAGAAAAAATGCATTACAACAAAAATTTAGTTTGTTTTATCTACTCCCTCCTGCATAGTGGACTGTTCTTTTTGCTAATTGCCTTCACCATCTATCTACACAATGGAATGCTCCGTTTATCAATGATCTTCATATACCAGTATATTTACATCGTACATTGTCAAATCCAAGCGTTCAGTGGAGAACAGTTCATTCAACAGGTGTTGATAAAGGACAAACCTTATTTTTTACATTTTTGTAATACATTTTTTCTACTTGCTGTGCTACAAGCCTACAACCCTATAGATATAATAGAATAACCACAACGATTCATGGCAGGATTGACCACAAGGTCAGATTCAACACAAAATAACCAAAAGCGATAAGAATTTTCAAGACATTGAATGGTTTAACAAATTATTCAGTCCTGGGCAGTATTCAGTGCCAAAACCTGGATTCCCAACTAATGGAACAAGGAGTAATCAAACTACTGAACTTCATACTGTCAACCAATCTATTCTAAAAATTCACGAAATTCAGATCAGCATCCAAGAATGTTTTTCATATTGGCCTGGTCAGACATCAATATTGAAAATAAGTATGTACATGTTTAATAGGCCTGGTCAGACATCAATATTGACAATAAGCAAGTACATGTTTGATAGGCCTGGTCAGACATCAATATTTACAACAAACATGTACATGTTTAACATTCTGAATTACTGTTCAACTGTAAGCACACTATTCATTGTGTATCATAAAAACAAGCAGAGACAGACGCACAAATTTCAGCAGATACCGGTAGTTTATTTCTCCCATGGTCATTTAAACAGTGCTGATAAAATATTACAAACCCATAAATTACAACAGACAATGAGCATCATTGATGAATCCAGTTACGAGAATAAGGATTCTTTATTGAAAAAAAAAATAGGGTTTTGGCGACAATATAAAACAGAACCCCCCCCCCCCTTTCCCTTCACTGCAGAAATTGAAGAAAGTAGAGTTTATTGCAGAAAATCGGACATTTCAGAAGAACAGGCAGGTAAAACTAGTTCATGCTTTTTCAATTCTTTTTACCACAGGATTCATTTTCAAACATTGAACACACAATCCTAATTATTCAGAGTTTGCAGCTATTAGTTTGCGTTCCACACCTTCATAAGAAGCCAGAGTGATGAAACTAGTAACGCACCAATTCAGCACTTCACATGTCACCATCTCTTTACATTTGGCGCCAAAATAAAATGACTTTGGGAGAATACTAGGACCTGCATATGCCACCTGTCAAGGAGTATCAGCTTTTTTGAAAATAAAAACACCAATATCACAAACAAACCCAGCTGGCAATGTTCCAGGGAATATTAATGAGAGGATAAGTTTTCAAAGTAATTTTATTTTGACGCCCAATGTAAGCATTAAAATATACAAAATTTCTTGAGAATTTTCTGCACATAATAAAACACAATGCAAGTCGGACCTGAACTCCACTTTGAATATATACCTCATCTACAAACTTGAAAATGCATCTCGATAATATAATCGGATTTTAAAATTCAAAATTATATGAAAAACCTAGAAACAAACTTGTCACAACGATAGAGGTGGTGTAAGGGAATATTTTATTATTTCAAATATATTATAGTGGATTTCAGGTTTACAACTGATCAAATTCAATAAAATTAAAATATATCATTGCTTAAAAAAAAAGGGGGAAAATACGACAGTCAACATTTTCTATTCTTATACATAATCATAAAATAAATGAACCCTTTCTACAACATCACATCAAGGGGGAAAAAAAAAATCACTGGAAGCACAGTACATGCAGGATAAACCACACTTTCAATAAAAATATATTGATTCTTTCATTTATAAGTTCAATGATGGTATATTTATGACCTGTGACCCGAACTTTATTCTGAAGACATGTACCCCCCCCCCCCAGATTAACTGATCCAGATGGAAGAGGCTACTGCACAAGATGAAAAGCAACATCAAGGAAGTCATATTAAATCTATTTCATTATATATATATATATATATACGAAATGTACGCAAGTTACCAAATTATACACGATGACAAAATTATGCACGACATAAAATAGAATAAATTGATTTTAAAAAAAAAAATATTTAAATTTGTTATCTATTGACTGGCAGATAGGAAGATGAAAACTAAGCAAACATAAACAGTATGGCAACAGGTCCTTGTTCCTTACAAACCCAATAAGAACCCTTTTTTTTTTTAAATACATAATTTTTTTAAATTATAATTCAAAAGCTTTCTTCTACAGAATTTTCTACAAAAAAAAAGCAGACGCTTAAAAGCTAAAAAATGCCTGTAGATGCAGAATGTCTTAAGCTGAAATGATTTTACAATTCATCTTTCTTTTGTTCTTCTTGCTCTTCCTCCTCTTCCTCATCCAGATCTTCATCCTTTTAAAAAATAAATAGAAATTCAGTTAAGAATGATTGTGATGTACATGAATAAATGAGGCGAGCTTTGACCTACAATTTCAGCAAATTTTATAAAAACAAATGGGAGAGTTAGGGGGCTTTGAAGAAATTCAAGGTAAATCAGTGGTAGAATAAGTTGTTCCTTTTAAGATTTTAGGAACCAGACTGATATCCAAGTCATTTTTTTAATAATGCAGCCTTTAATAATTTCTTCAGTCATAATGCACAATTTTACATTACAAAACAACTCCAAACATACATTACAACTGAAGGGGGAAAAAAAGAAAGAAAATTTGCCCGTTCTTTAACAAATAATTTTTGGGGGACGAGTTGAATCTGGTAATCCTATGGTATCTACCATTTGTGTTGTGACATCACAAGGAGGGTCAACAGAATACAGCCAATGAGCAGCAGCCAAATCATTCTGTTAAAATAAGAACATTGAACATAACCATGGTAACTATTCTACTTACTTCATCTGATGGGCCGGCGCCATGTTTGCCACCACTTTCTAAGAATTTAGTAAATCCTTCCAAAGTACGCTCACCATTGTAATCTATGATCTGTAAGAAAAAAGTTATGAAATGAAGTTATGAAATGAAGTTATGAAATGAAGTTAAAACTTCAAGATCATTGCATTCAGTGAGGAGGGACCAACTGCTTAATTTAACAAGAGAAGTTTGCAAAATTTGAAAGTTGGGAAAATTAATACTAGAACATTTTATTTAAGATCTTTAGGATGGCAAGCGACATAGTTTTTGCTCCTTACAAAGCATCCTAAAATTCTCAAATATTAAATAAATTTGTATTTTTGTATGAACCTGGCACTGTGGACATGTGAATGTTAAACTCACTAATACAACATGATTTTTCTCTTTGGTTTAATATTTTATTTTATACAAGTACTGACAAATTTTGGCCCTATTGGATAAAATAAATGACTGAAAAATATTGTATTTAGTCATTTACACAAAATAATCCATGCACAAGAAAGGTAATTTTAACAGCCCAAACTGATTTCAGGACACATTTCAGGAGTGCACAGAATATTGCAAATATTGGCATCAATCATCTGAAACAAGCCCACATTAATCACTTTGTTCAAAAACATTATATGGTAATTAGAATTTTGCCTAGAATATTTTAATATGAAGTTTAAAAACTCTGTGCAAATAAATGCTTCAACTTGTAATTTATCAAAGAAATGTACAAGTATTTGGGGAGTGACAATAACTTTTAAACTTGTTGAAAATGGTTGAATATAGAAAACATTATCAAAGGTTATCAAAAGATAAGGATATGCAACTGTGGTGACATATGAACTGAAGATCCTCAGATTGTATTTCGTTTGTGTCTGTTTACAGTTTTTTTTTTAAAGTGTCTAAATATCAGAACGCACTCAATTTATTTACTGCATTAATTAAGTACAACATTTGCACAGTTTTGAGCATTTCTTAGTTAATTTTAAAATCAGCTACAGTCCTTGTCAAAAATTTTGGGAAAATTATGCAGGATCGACGGTAGTTTGGAAAATGCGATAAAAGTTTGTTTTGGTATTTAACAGATTTAGATAAAACGTGTCTGATAACCTTTCCAATTTTACAATTTAATGTTTCCATGGCTACCAACATGATTTCAATGGCATTTTCTTTGCAGGTTATCATGAGCAATACACATATTTTGGTTTAAATTTTATCATTGAATTTCAAAAAAAAAAAATACAAAAAATGTAAGCAAGAAAAAGTTGCCTGCCAAATTATTCATAACAGTACACCAAAGAAGAAAAACAAGCCAGGAATTACTAATATGTTATAACAAATATAAACTTACATCGCTACTGTCTTTTGGGAAAAATTTAAGGGTTGGGAAGCTTTGCACTTTAACAACTTCAATTTCATTTGCAGTAGCATCCATTTTAGCAATGACGATATCTTCCCTGTCTTTGAAATTTTCTGCTAATTCATCATAAATTGGGGCTAGCTGTTTGCAGTGTCCACACCAAGGAGCATCTGCAATGAAGACAACAATGTAATGAGTGGTGAATTACAAACAAATGAATATATAAAGTAGATGTCGAAAATAAAACATTGAACACCTTATAGAGTAGAAATAATAATGCAATAAGAGTTTGTAATTACAAACAAATGAATACATATAGTAGAGCATAAATGTTGAAAAAAAAAAAAAGGTTTGTAACCTATTATGCATGAATTCAATAAGAATAGATATCAACAATTTGGTTACTTACAAAATTCAACAAGTACATCCTTCGTCTTGTCTAGTGCCACTTCTTCAAAGTTCTTTCCAACAAGGACTTTGACAGCCTCCTTATCCCAGTCTTCGGGAACATCCGCTGACATGAGGTGAGGCTGTAAATCAAGAACTCAAGAATTAGTACTATTCCTTATCATGTGCATAATAAATGTCCACTGGGCGCCACAGCTGGGCAGGACAATGTTTTAAAGAAGAGCATTCTATTGGATTATGAATATTCAAATTATTACAGGAAAACAAATTCACACACCTTCAGTTTGCCGTCGAGCACAGCATTAACAAAGGTCTTCATTGTTTCAGCTTTGATTTCATCACTTTCAGGTTTGAATTTAGCCATATCAGCTTCCAGATTGATGAGTCGCACAGCTGGGGTGTCTTCCTTCTTCAGTCCAAAGAATTCCAAAATACGACCATTATCTTCACTGCCGGCATCAATCATGACAAAAAGAACCTTTTTAAAAAAGAAAGATCGGGAATGGTCAATTATAAAAGATCAACAAAAACGCTACAACTTGTATTGCCAAGGTCCTTAAGCATCCATGTTTTGATGCAACCAAGATCCACATAAAATCATGTTTATATGATTAACTGCCATCCAACACATGTTACAGGTACATGTCGACGCAATCTGTCTAAAAATTTGACAAGTCAAATACATTCACACGTTTCCGTAACAATTATAAGGCTAATTAATAGACACAAGAGAATACATTAACCATGACATTTGCCTTTGTACCTTGCACTGCACATATGTAATATCTGTTGAAATTAGGTTCAGCAAAACTGAAATAATGGCCACAGTCAATCATTTTGTGGGTAGAATGACAGGACAAAACTAATTTTCATTTAAGGTTTGGTCAAAATACTGAATATATGAAAGAAATACAAGTCTTTACCTGAAACATTTAAAGTCTATTATCACAACAAACCCGTACCAGGTACATTCACAACAAAGTTGGAATAAGCAATAACAAGCCCCACCCCACCCCACCCCACCGAGTTTAGTTGAGTTGAGTTGAGTTGAGTTTTTGCTGGTAGCAAAATAGCTGCTAGTCAGTCATTTGATTAAATGGTAATAAACATTGCTGTGATGTATATGCCAGTCATCAAAGTCTGTTAGTGTTTTTAGTTTGAATGTAATCAGTCATAGCATTTCTGAGAAATGGCTCTGGACACGTGCATGAACAGACCAACTAATAGTTCCAGATTTCTGAATGTCCGAAACAGGGAAAAAATAACTAAATAGTTACAGTTTTAGTAAAAGGAAGTTCATAAGGGTGAACTTCAGCACAGCACACAACACAACACAACAGCACAGCACACAACACAACACCACACCACACCACACATGCGAGCAGTGACAACTAAGCAACAGTATGACAACCATCATAAACAACACAAGACAAGTATACTTGGGAGATATTATTTACCTTTCCTTTGAAGTCTTTGGCTGCTTCTGTGAAACCATCGTAAATAGACTGGAAGTTCTCTACTTCTTTGTCCAGGAACATCAGGTTGTGTTTTTTGATATCGCCACCGAAGATTTTCTGTGCAGTCTGCATTAAAAAAGCATCAAATGTTTATTATGCCTATCACTATCACAAGTAGCCTTATTTGCATAAATCAGCGCATCATGTTGTATTCTTATTGTTAATTTGCAAAAATGTTTCATGTCGCAAACATTTACCCATTCATTATTTCAGGATTGTTGTTTTTATATTTATTTAATTAAAGCGTCTTTAGATATCCAATATTAATTAATATTCACATAATGCTGTGTTCAAGGTTTGTGAGTCATTATCTGCAATAATGAACAGTGTATGCGTGCATAGACCTTGAGCATCGTCTTTTAAGGTTCATGATGCGTGGAACCCAATGCATGCAATTTTATTTCACAATGCACAACAAATTTTTGATTCACTGTCTCCAACCAACTTGGCTAAATCATGATTTTTAAGGAGCAGGTGTTTAGCTGAATGATGGTTTTATTTAATGCATGCCAGGTTTGACAGCATGTTGATGTTGCCCATTTTTAGGGAAATTAAAAAATTGTTCTACTAATTCAATTGCATCATTGAAACAACCATTTTCACAAAAATTTAACACAAATGTTCACACAAAAAATATATTTTTTTTAATTGACATTTTATTACATTAGTGACTATCATAAAACATTGTCTGATGTTTCACAACAATCACATTTAGGTCATTTTGGAGAGGCTAATGGAAATTCATCAAAATATTTAATTGTACAAAAGTAGGGAGTGTACAGGGTATGGGCTTTCTTATTATCTAAAGTGATTTGTCTGAATAAAATAAACCACAACAAAATTGTTATTTTCGGCATCAGTACTCACCCGTGTTGACGGTATGATATGATGTGTTTTGTACAGCTACAATAACATCGCAGTCATTGTGGAATTTGAGACAAAATTCTAGCAAGTAGCAAAATACGAGAATATAGCATGTTCTTGGAAAATTCGCTATAAAAAGAATCGATAAAGTAAAAAGGTACGTAGAGTAACATCATAAAATTTGAAATGTGTTTTAAACTTTCTCGGTCAAAAAATAATCAGGTAGGTACCTTTTATTAGTTTAGTTTAGTTTAGTTAACATCGTACCAAGCTGGGTACCTAGATACCAAGAATGCACTATTCATGAAAATCTTTTGGGTTTGCATGCAATCTTGTTTTGTACATGCATGTCTTTGGTTTGTATTTTTCTTTTAATTGGGTCATCAAAACTAGTGAACTAGTGTAGTTTTATAAAGTATGTATGAAATTAGCATTTGATACATCTACAACTAATTTTACTGTCTAGTCTTTGAGTTATTCACGGTTGCAAAGAAACTTAACTTTAACGCTCATTTCATTTCTACTTTAGCAAATAAATGGTTGGGAGACTTAGCCTTGTTAGGGCCTCTGGAGAACATTGCAAGCTATTCACAAATCAACTTGTAGATTATTAGATCACACTCAGTTAGCGGATGTACTGACAGACCACCTAAATGAGAATACTGGACACAATGCTAAACATGCAGAAAAATGACAAATGACAACAGCGAAAGAAGACTATGAAAAAAGAAACAAAACTTCATACCTGTTCACTGAATTCAATGACAAGTGGTAAACTGTTGGCAGCCACAAATGTTGCAAGAGCATCAGCAGTGAGGTCTCCATCATAGTCGTTACGACCTTCATCAAACTACAAAACGAGAAAAGTAAAAACAAATAAGTAACAGTATGCATATCAGTTTCCTCATAAACATAGCTTTGAAGTCTGGAATAGAATACAAGATATAAAAGTTGTTTAGCGAATTAGTGTATGTTTGCAAAATTTAATTTGCTAACTTAATCAAGTTACGAAGCATGAATTCTCAATTCCTTAGCATGCATTCTGTTTTTATGGCAGATGTTTCATAAAAACAAAATTGAGATAATAACTACCTTTTTCAGTAAGACAATAGCACCATCCTTAACTTCGTATTTCTTGAAGACATCATCACTTGATGTAATACCAAATGAGATATCATCATTGGCAGAAGCAACTTCCAAGAATATTTTAGCATTGTCACTGTCAGCACTTTTAAAGAAACCAATTACGCAGACCTCCTTCTCGGCAAGCTTCTCAGCATCCTCAACACTTTCTAAAGTTTTAGCTGGTGGACCAGTCTTCTTGTTCAACCAGTTCACAATGCCATCAGCTTCTCTACCACCTGTATTGATGAAGAAGAAATGTAAGGAAACCTAACTTTGCACAATGTAGACAAAGTACAGATAGTTCGGTTCAACATCTGCATATTTCCCATCAACACCCAGATAAATTATTAATCAAGGTTTTGATAAATTTTGACTGCTACCAAATGCATGTGCACTATATGCCTCTATTATGCCATGCTAGATCAAAACACTGTATTTCACAACTGTAGTTGTCATTTATAGATACAATATTGTAGAACTAGTGTTTTAGAGAAAGTCTGGTTTTAGATATACATGGTAGGTACAGTGCTAGTGATTTTTTTAGCCAAGTTTCAGTATGGTTTAGTGTTTGAAATATTTCACAAATCTTATTTACCATTACTATGATATTCATAGTAAACTGCCAAAAATTTATATTTTTTTATCTCATAACAGTGAAATATGTAGGATTATTGAAGCTATCCGAGGCGTGTGCTTATCAGAGACATTTATGATCGCCTTTGTTCATTACGAGTCAGAATGAGGGTTTAAATATGAATCATCGTAGAATCGTGTATATCAAACCAAAAGTCATTAAGGTTGTAAAAACTCAGATTAATGTGGACAAAGACAAAGGTACAAGCATTGTAAAATACAATAATGATGGAGATATGATTCACATTAACAAATCTATTTTGATTCAAATAGAAAACAAAATTTGACTATTATACAATATAGGCACAGCATTTCTCACTGATATTTTAACTCTTTGACTTGTATCAGTTCATAAATTTAAGAAAACAAGAAATGTTTTTCAAAAGAAGAAACCTGATACCAAATGCAGCACTGATGACATTTAAAACTGGAAAATAATTGTTAAAACCGTTACAGCACTGCTCACTTGAAATCCCCACAGCATGCCAGTAAAGGTTGTGTATTGTATTCTTCTCAATATGTAATCCAAGCCGAGACAAAAATAATTATTTCCACCCACAAGTAAATCTGGTTATTTGATTTCAAATTATTGCAAGTTTACCACAAAATGATATAATAATAAAAAAAATTCTTAAAATTATGAGAAACAATAAAATTGCTAACAGATTTCATTATCAATCTGCCAAGCAAATTGATATAATTAGACTTGTCATTAACCTATACAGCGCATGTAAATAAAATTTGTATTTCCACAAGCATATTTTCATTAAATCACATTCAAAAATTTGTTTTTCTATTTTGCAAGAATTTATAAATTGTTATACATGTTCGATGATGTGTTTGAACAAGAAACTCCCTGGAACTGTCAAAATTCAGTTTGAGTGGCAGTTTTTGTTTCTTTGAATGTTTTAATTTGTTATCATTTTTCTGTGCATTTATGGAACTAACCAAAATTGGGAGTAACACATTATGGGACACGAGTGAACATGCCATGTTATGATGAGTTGCTTCAAAGCATGTCATTCTGTGGCTCCAATACAAGTCAGACATGTGGAAACAGCTTTGGTGAAACTGAACAATAACACAAATTATTTTAAATTAAATTTAATACATGGAACATGAAAGCTTGCCATTCAAATGCAATACAAATTGAAACTAACAAATCTAAGTTCAGTAACATAGGGTTTAATAATCCCAAAACACCACAGTTTCCCATCATTTTTTGAGCAGCAATGCCTTTGCCCACCCCAGCAGTTATAACCTTTTAAGCTTACCTTGGTAATCACTCTCTTTGCCCTTCTTGAAGAATTTCAATGTTGGATAACCTCTAACTCCAAATTTCTGAGCCAAGTCGCTCTCAATTGTGGCATCAACTTTACCGAGTTTGATGTCTGAGCCATCATCTTTCAGTTGTTTAGCAGCTTTTGAGTATTCTGGAGCCAAAGCCTTGCAGTGTCCACACCATGGTGCATCTGAAACAAATTACAAGTAATGGTCAGGTTGGCACAGGCAAGAGTATGAATAACTACTACAACATTTCTACTAACAGTAGCCACCATATGCATTTCTATCACTCAAAGATATTTACTTCAAATGAAAAAAAATTATTTCAACTTAAGTAAAATTAAATTCATGGATAAACTTCAATCAGATAATTTGCAGAGCAATTTTTGATAGGAACGATATTCAAGCTTCAAAGTTCGAAATGATGTAATCTAGCAACAACCTTTAAAAAAAATAGTTTTAAATATTAAAATTACCATTGAAAAATAAGTATTATAGATTAAGCTTATGGCTTATTATTATGGTGATCCCATTAAAAAAAAAATTAATAATTTCTTTTTTTAAACTGAATTTCAATTTAATGCATATACAAGACAGATGAATAAAGAGAACAAAAATATCTTCATAGCTATCGAGTAGAGTACAAAATCCCATTCATGTTCCATTTAATCACGTGTACTTTATTTGGTGATTAAACAATGGTAACAGGTGCTCTTAGTTCAAACATACCAGTTGTGTCAATTTCCCAATGCTGGTAATACCTGCACATAGCATTGAAAACATCATTCACACGACCTGTTATTAGAAATGCTACACTTGGTTTCATTTTAATCACTCACAAAATAATCACTCTCCCTATAATTGCATATGATAAGTATTTTTTTCAACACAATTCCAAATTTTTTTTTTTCAGCATATCTAATATGATCAATGATATGTTCAATTCATCCAAAATCAGGGAAAAAAATTTATATAATAAGTAAATGTGCAAAATAGTTCTCTAAAATTTGAGGGATGGGGGTTTATAAAAGATAATGTTTACAATTTTAAAGCAAATCACTTGCAAGCATTTTGAATTTGCCCGCGGGAATCATACAAAAACAACTATTTTGTTCAATTAAGCCAGTAAAACTCTGGCATGGTTAACAATGTATACCACATGGCGAGATTTACTTTTAGATGAAATGGAATACACAAACATTGGTGCACTACACTCGAAAGCAGCTTTTCGTCAGCCTTTATTTTTTTCTCTGAATAGCATGGTATAAGCTGATTGTGTCCTGCATACCTAACCATATGCTAGCATTTCTTTTATAATTAAATTAAAATTAATGAAGTGTCTTCTTTCAACCTCAATGAGTGAAACTAAAGTCAATTTGCATTTATCTACTAGTTCCACTTTTATTATTAAATAAATGCTTTTGTTGAATGTACAAGCGGTCTATTGTTCATATCAAAGGATGGATTCACTATATGAACATTGATGCACATATTGGATCTGGGGGCAACCATATTGCAGGACTGTATATACAAATAATGCCCTGAAAAAGGACTGGTGCAAAAAATATTTTACACACTCGCAAACAGATTTAACTGAATATAAAAAAGAATTTGAACTATGTTTTTATTCATCCATACTTAACACATCATTAGCTGAAAGCCTCCATGTTTGGCCAGAATTAACGGGGAAAGAACGGCTTCAGCGAGCATCACGTTAACAAGAAGTAACATACGAAATCTTATTTCTTGTATCTATCGCATCAAAAAGCAAAGGATTTTCAATTCAACAAACAGAATACCGTCAGAAGGTAATAATGCCACACGCCAGTGTATTCCACCACCACAAACGGTAAGTAATGAATAACAGCTTGAATAATTTGCAATAAATTTTTATGAGCAGCTAGCATACCATATGTTGTCATAGTGACATTTTTATAATGCCCATATAGAAGACATGTTTGTCCAAATATTTTTTAATTTCTGGTAGGTTTCAATAGATTGTCGTGACAATTATAGGCTCTGATGGTTCACACAATGAATTGTACACAGATTGTTGCAGAGATGACAGAATGATAGATTATACAACGAGAAAGGATTTTCTGTTGTAAAAGGCAGCATGTGTGAAATCATTCACACAATAGAGTAGACCACCATTTTGAAAACTATTAGCTATATTTATCAATGACAGTCACAAGTCTGACTTCAATGGTTTTATGCAAGATAACTTTAAATTCAAATTTATGTACCAATATTATAACTAAGGAACAATATATTCCTATTACAGTTTCATATTTAATTCATTAATCTTGCAAATAAAAATGACAAAATCGACTCAGTTACTATTAATTATTTTGCAAGTCTAAGAATAATTTTATACTTGGTGTAATAGCCTGTTGATTAAATAACCGACTTTAGAATCGATGCACTCAACCAGAGAAAATATTAAATATTAAAATCTGAAATTTCAATTTAAAGTAGCATTCCCATTTTGTATTATGTGCACAACACTTTCCACTGATTATTGCAACAAATCTTGAAATGTTAGAATGACTAAATCAAACATTTTTCATTGTTGTAAATACTCAAGGCCACTTTTACACTATACAATTCTTCTAAATTCTACATCAGGTTTCTGTCAAATAACATTTCTCATTAAATGCACAAACACAAAAGCCTCTATGATAACTTGCTACGATTCAATGAAAGGTTTTCAACATATCATACAAAGTGGAAATGCAACGATTGAACAGTAAAATAAATGGATAGGTTTAAATTATACTCAAAAAGGATTTTTATCGACAACAAGAAGAAACCATGTGCGCGAGACAAAATTAATATTATAGAAAACCACACATGTCAGCACCATACTGTTTCAGTTGTACAATGGCATAATTAGAATATTCTATTGTTAAGTTGATAAAACCTCACTGGAACCCTGCCCAGGTTTAACTACGCTAACATTAATCAAAACTTGTACATTTTCAATATATTAGTTACCGGTACTTGCAATACAATGGCACTTCTACAAAATTGTTTAAAATGCACATTGCCACCAGTAACAACATTTTAACTAATAATTATAATTCAGGAATTTTACAGGAGTTGCATACTAATTTTTTATCATTCAATACAGCAATTTATTTAGTATGTAGTGGCTATAGTTTTGAAGGAGACATACTAATACTGTAAAATCTGTATTAGAAGCCGCAGCTTCTATTAAAAAGGTACAAAGCAACAGAGGAGATGCGGCTTCAATTAGAGCATCTACACACGAGAAATGATGAATTTTTGGTTTTCAATTGTACAAAAAGATTGGGTGCGATTTCTAATACAAATTTTACGGTAATCAGGGACCTAGGGCTGGCTCAAGAGTTATTGGTTACACAAATACAGCAAAGATGTTGGATAACCAGATGTTACCAGTAATCTTGTAGTGTACACTTTAGGTTATGCGCCATTAATTAATAATATTAATTACATGCCAAAAACTGAAGACTCGTACAATGTACAATTGTGATATCACCTGCCACATATTATTCAAACTAACAAGGAATGTTGTGTAACAGGTTGCGAGGAACCATCGCTAACATCAACATGAGGCTACACCGCTGCTGCCAAGATATATATGCTGCCGTTTTTACAAACAGCCTTCTCACCAAAATACAAAACCAATCTGCATTTATAAAAGGCTAAATTTCAAATATTCAACCAGTGTGTACTCGAAGCTAGCACAATTCTATCGTATTTTCAAGAATTCATCGATAATGACATGGTTCCTGCTACCAGTTAAAATAATTGTTAAGTAGCTGTAAAAAAAAATAATCTGGCTAATATGCTTTACATTATTACTCTTATATGACTGACCCGGCTAGATGAACCTGGTGATCTATTTTGCTTGCGAATGTAAACAGTTGTATTTACACTGGCAATCCCGAAACATATGGCAGTTATGGTAGCAAAAGAACAGCCAAATATTTAACAAAGGCAGGACGAGCACTAGACACTAACGTACTACAAAGCATATATAGTGTAAGGAACCGGATTACTCAGTCTAGTTAGTCAAAATACGACTATGTTGGATCATGCACTAAAACAAGAAACTGTACACAAGAGAAATGATAAATTCTTACACTACACCCAAATGTCTGTGTGCACTAATCTCAGCTAGTGTACCGACTCGACTGATTCACCAAATGCACATAGTCAGGCATAGGCTGAAGATGGGAAAAGACTTAATAATTTTCGATTTTACAACGAATCGTCGGAAACACTGATACCTTGCTAGTGTCAACACAAGTTGATATTTTAGAACAAAAAACAGCTGTAACTACACGATCTGACCTCTGGTTTAAAACTTACAGAATTCAACAAGGACGTAGTCGTTTCCGTCGATCACTTCTTGGAAATTGTCTGTAGTAAGGATAAGGACATCTCCTTCTTCGGCGACGTCTGCTGCATCATAAACAACGGCAACGCAGGCCACGACAAGGAAAGCGAGTAGGTACTTCATTTTTGGTAATATTCGTTCGGTTTCTGACCACTTCCCGGTTTAGCTGTGCAACTTCTCAGGGCAAACGTGGCAAAGAGGTCGAACAGTAGCGCGCATGCGTATTAAAGGCAGGTCACGGAGCGTGTTGATTTGTGATTGGATGTCACATATCACGTGAATTTACTAACTTTGCGGTTCACGATGTGTTGATTATTGATTGGTCATGCGCAGCTCCAGTTTTTCAGTAAGTTGCCAGTTTGCTACTGTAATTGCAATAATTTATCAATTAAATGTCAGCCGGTCACGACTAATATATACGATTTACACTCGACACACACGGCACATATCCACATATATCTCCATAGTAACGAAGAATATATTATATTACGACCAAATTCATACGAAAGCTATAGCAGGGATGTGCTATCCCATCCCATTCCAGACGGCCAAAATGCTAAATTTATAACCCTTTTCAGACAATTATTGCTAAAAAAAATGTCTGTTTTTTCGATGATTAAATACATGGGCCAATTTTCTGCCAGAATTAATGAATTATGGCTTGAACAATCGAACGCCATTTTTTTTTGGCTTTATCTCTCTTCTCCGGACACTTGTACCATATTTGTCAAAATATACTGATCACTTTTCCCGTGTTTTTCAGTTCTTTTGATTCAACTAATAGTGATGAACGTTACACGTTAAACATTGTCGCATTCTGATCTCCGCTGTCTTTCAGGCAGTTCGAATGATTTTGGACGTCCAAACTTACTTTTCCCGTTATTCAAGTTGTTTTCCCACTGCGTACCAGTGTGTGCTAATTTGTGTACACTGTGAATATTAACAATTGACGGAGGCAATCAGCAAACAAAGTAGAAAAAAATGTAAATTAAGCGTTAAAATATAAGATATAAATAATATTGTATGGATTAATGACTGCAACTGGGAGAATCAAAACTTAACATTTCTTTCCCATGTGCAGACAACCTTTATACCTACCATTGTGATCACAATGAAAGATGATGGAAACAGTTGGTATCATGGCAACAATCTTAATCTTACGGGAACTGAATCTAGCTTGCGTTGGTGTCTAATGACTGAATCAATCATAATTTCCATTATAGTAATCACACAATACCACTTCACTTTATTTTATTTTACGAGGGACTCCTGAATTCGACTTCATTATTATTTTTGATAAGTGGATTTCTGGATATGTTTCAACTAGATTATGCAAAGTGGAAATGCAGCTTTTAATGTTGATCGACTTAAAACGTAGTATGTATTAGTACGCATACTAGACTTATGTAATATTTGATGTGTATTGGTTAACAGTTTGAATATCATTAGTATGACCATTCATTCATTCATTCATTCATTCATTCATTCATTCATTCATTCATTCATTCATTCATTCATTCATTCATTCATTCATTTGCTCGTTCCTCCATTCATTCATTCATTCATTCATTCATTCATTTGCTCGTTCCTCCATTCATTCATTCATTCCTCCATTCATTCATTCATTCCTCCATTCATTCATTCATTTGTTGGTTTATTTGTTCGTTCATTCTGTCTTCCATTTAGTCAGTCAGTCATGGGCATGTGTTATTAAATCCTGGTGGTAAACAGAAGTCCAATTTAAAGCGTTGCGATTTAGACGTGTTTGGTAGGACCATTGCCCGGACCATTGTTCACTAAAGGATGTATTACAGTGATTGATTGATTTACATATTCTTCGACGTTTTTGTTGTTGTTCAACTTTCGAATCCAGTTTTTAATATCTGTGTGATCTTTGACATGTCTACGTGTATGGTTCGCTGAATGGTCACACCCAGGTTGTTGTCACGATGTACCAGACATGATGCAAGCGGGTCGAATGTGTCGAAGTACGCCCGCTCATCTACAGTAAGCCCGCAAAGCGCGGCGTAATTTAAGGAAACGCCTAATTTGAGGGAGTTCGAAGATGAAGCTTATCAGCTTTATTTGCCATACTACCGAGTAAGTGATAATACATACATGGGACAATAAAAGAAATAATATCTCGCCATTAAATCAAATGAAATTGTTTTGTGGAAAATTGTAACAACTTTGGATTACACCAATTTTGTGGAAAATTGTAACAACTTTGGATTACACCAATAACAATATACAACTTTCTCAGTTATCAAACAAAAATTTCTAAATGTTATGCAAAAAAATAGTTTCAAAATAGTATTGGTACTCAATGCAAAAACAGAATTGAAACAACAATGTTACGATTTCCTTAGATATTTCTGATCCGCGTTTCCCGAAATATTGTCCGGTGACACCAATTTTTGTAGCACGGTTCCGCATCTTAAGTGCATGGACCCCGTATCATTGGAAGTATTAATGACTTTCACTTTTTATTTGTGCAAAGTAAGATCAACCAACGAAATAATATTAACGGGTCATTGAACTCGTTTCTACGGGAATTGTATTTTTATGATTTTGACCTCGTCATAAAAGCACATGGTCAAAATGGTGTGTATTGTGAACAATGTCGGTGACATATGGAACGAGCATGTAGCTCTGATTTGAAACAAAGATAAGAACAACGACTCCCAATTTTCTTGGCTCATTGAAATACTGTTGTGAAAGTTATATATATACAAATGTGTATATATTTAGTATAGATTTGAAAACTTGTGAAACCGGAAATCAGTTTTACATTCCAGTGTGTTTCAAGAAGATCATCATCATCGTATCTAAATACACTTTTACGGGGCAGCTTCTCCGATGTCTGCCATTAGCGACGATCTGTGGACTGTGGTTGTGCTATGCCAGCTTCTAAAAAAAGTTTTATTATAACAGGAAAAGTCGTATTTGTTTGTTCTAAATATAATGGTACTCGATCTTGACCGAGAGTGTAAAACGATATTAATTTACGTAAATTATATGATTATGTGATAATCATATTAGTAGACAAGATGTAAATTGTAGCCAGTCTCTTTAGTATAACCCGTAAAAAATATTATTAACGAATAAAATAGTAATTGTTCAATTTATCATGAGAATGCATCCCCCATGCTTCCGTAATGAGATTATTGGAGCAAGGAAGCCATACGGCTCTGGGCTCTAAGTTGTTTTAATCTGTTTATATGTATGCCGTGAGTCTCAATAAACAATGGGATCCGTTCTAGGCTGAACCATATGGTAAGAAACACAGTGGGCCACGTCATCAACCACACCACGTTAAAGTGTCTATATGATGACACGTGGGTCCACTGGGAGCATGTCGATATGGATTGCTACTTCTTTTAATTTATATCTAGTATTGCATTTCTCTTCCACTGAATCAATATATCCTCTTTCACTGGATAGACCTCCATTTTCAGCTTGATGCAAAGACACGCGCTGATGCAGAATAGAGTGGCAGTAGCGTGTTTACTTTGAATATACTACACCCCGGTGTAATCTTATGAACACACATGCTTTAATAACGAAATGTGTCGAGATAGAATAGAAATAACAAGATACCATATTGTCATGCAAATTGTCACACGGTATGTGATATCGCGGATCATGATAACTCCCGATTCTCTGGCCACTCTAAATGGTATGTTATGTTATTGCCACGCTGATTCGCATCCAACGTGACATACCGTGGAACTCATACACATACAAAAACATATTCGTAATAATATGTCAGCTCTTTTTTTCACATCGTACACTTTCTTAGCCCGAACTAAGTGTTCGCGCACTTTTTCCTTACACGGGTCAACTTTTTTTGACAACATTTCACGTCAACAACAGTTGATCGGCGTATCATACATGTTGCCAACATGTTGCCACTTGTTGATTGGAACATGGAGGTAAAATGATTGGAATATCTAGTCTAGTCCCTGCAACAAGTTGCAGGTTTCGGGGGCACTCTTTCAACTTGTAACATTGCATAATGTGTGGTTCAACCTGTTTCTGTACAACTATAATAATCAAAATATGTGTATGTTACGTTGGATTCGGAAACAGCTGGTGTAATATTCATTTGTTTGTTTGTTTGTTATCGTAATTCGCCCATTGTGACGTGGTGTTAATGCACCACCTCGAGCATTCACACACTTCCCTCGATGAGGGCGGATGTTTGTTACAAACTAACACCTGTTGTATAAAGTGGAAAATTAGAGCACATCATGTCCGATTCTCATCCTGAGTGTAGTTTCTGTCTGAGTGGTTGCTTATTAAAAAACGAACATCAAACAGCTGTTCAACAGAAGACTCATCTAAAGTGTCTTCCAATGTTTGTTGTTTTTTTTTGGGGGGGGGGGGGATTCCCAAATCTCAGTACAAATGTGATGAATATATTGGTAGTAATTGCGTAAGTAATGCAATGCATCATGGTCGTCTTCGTCCATAACACCAAATTTTGCATTAACGTTCTTCCGATGTCACATTTGTTGTTTTTAAAGGATTTTTTAATTTAATTCAATTTAATATAATTACTTGTCAAGAAGATTCTCACAATAGATTCTTAATAGAGGCGATAATTACACTTTGAAGAGACAATGGGACGTGTAAGTTTCAGACAGCTGTTGTCCAGTGAATCAACCTGTTATTGAAACTCAAATCTTCTTGTTAATTACATCTTCAATCGACAATCATAACAATAGGTGCGGCTCGACGCACATATGGTACATAGCATTGTTTTAGACGAGGGATTCCCACCAGCCTCAGACAACGAATACATTTATCAGTCACTCGTACCTCGCTATTGTCCCAAATCCGACAATATCCTAGAAAAAATAAGATAACAGTTGTTGTTTTTTCAAATTTGTATATTTTTTTTTCATATATTTTTTATTTTTTGGTAAGTTTTTTAAAGTTTTCATCGCTCAGATTTTATTGTTATCTGAGGATATTACAAAATTGTATGCCTTGTACCAAGGTCCTGGGCCTTTGCCAACAATTATAACAGAACAAAAAAATACCGGCGAATAAACAATAAATAAAATAAAATCTTTGATAAA